CGTTCCGTTCCGTTCTGCGCCGCTCGGCCCCGCCCCAACCTGAGCGCTGGGGTAGGGCGCCTCCTCGTTAGCATGCGGCTCATTAGCATGCGGCTTATTAGAATACCCCGCGTGCAGCGCGCGGACACGCGCGCCTCGCCGGGCTCCGCCGCTCCGCGCGTGAGCGGCCGCCGGGATCGGACGGGGCGGGGCGGGGCGGTGCAGAGCCGGGCTGTGCCGGGCGGAACGGAGGAGGGCAGGACGCCGCGTGCTGGGGGCGGCGGGCCGGCAGTGGGCACGGGGCCGGGAAGGGGTGGGGCTATACTCTGGTTTCTCTTCAGATCGTATAAATCTTTCGCCTTTTACTAAAGATTTCCGTGGAGAGGAACAAGCACGAGTGTCGTGGAATTTTTTGAGGCTCCGCTTTGGCGGAGCTATCCCTGTTGTGGTTAATGGTAGAGCAAACGCGTGTGTCGGGGAAGTCTTGCAGTCTGCCCTTCGAGCGAGCTGTGGAAGTGCTGGTTTGGAGCAGAAGGAGCGGAGTGTCGTGGGGTTATCGGAGGCTTCCCTTCCGTGGAGCCTCTCACCGTTTCTGGTGAAAAGCAAACAAGCACGAGTGTCATAGGATCTTTTGAGTGTCCAGGAATTTCAGAGGCTCTGCTTTCTATGGTGCTTCGGCGGAGCCTTTTCACCATTGCAGGTGAAAAGCAGAACAAGCACGAATGTCATGGGAATCTCTGAGTGTCGTGGAATTTTGGAGGCTTCCCTTTGGCAGAGCTATCCGTATTGTGATTAGTAACAGAACAAGCACGAGTGTCGTGGATCTTTTGGAATCTCCACTTAGACTGAGCTATAGAATGAGCACGAGTGCCGTGGGATTGAGGCTTCCCTTCTGCAGAGCTGTCCCGTTAGATGCACCAAGCACGAGTGTTGTGGGAGCACTGGAGCGTCGTGGAATTTTTGGAGGCTCCACTTCAGCTGAGCTATCCCTATTGTGGTTAATAACTGAATAAGCATGAATGTCGTGGGATTTCTGGAGGCTTCCCTTTGGTGGAGCCTCTCACCAATGCTGGTGAAAAGCAGAACAAGCACGAGTGTCGTGGGATCTTTTGAGTGTCGTGGAATTTTGGCGGTGCCTCTCACCGCTGCTTCGATGGAGCCTTTTCACCATTGCAGGTGAAAAGCAAAACAAACACGAATGTCTTGGGAAATTCCGAGTGTCGTGGAATAGCCTGAGGCTCCGCTTCGGCGGCGCGATCCCTCTGCCGGTCGGTAAGAGAACAAAACAGCGTTACGCTCCTCGCTCTCTACAGCGCCCCCCTCCCGGCGCAGCGCAGAACCGCACTGCGGACCACGCTCCCCTCCGTCCCACGTGGCGATGTTTGCGCATGCGCGCTGCCGCCCTTTCGCTCCGAACTGCACCTCCCCCCCGGCGTGAGTGCCAGCCTCCCACGCGCAAGGCACGCTGGGACTCGCAGTCCCCCCGCCGCGTTCTCCCGGTAGGCCCCGCGGCGCGCGGCGTTTAAACGAACGGCCGTTGCCCGTCCGTGCGTGCCGCTGCCGGGACGGAGCGCCGCGCCATGGATCCGCGGCTTTACCGCCACGTTTGTCCCGGGCGCGTCGTCAACATCCAGCGCAGCAACGGTGAGCAGCGGAGCAAGGCTCCGGGGCGGTGGGGGTCTCTGCCGCGGGGTCGGACGGCGGCGTTCGCGGCTCCTTCCCGACTTCCCTCCTTTCAGGTCTGTTCCACAAAGCGACGGTGAAGGAGGTGAACGCGCAGCAGCGCTCCGTGTCGGTGGAGTGGTGCGAGGCGGGCGTCGTCAAGGGCAAAGAGGTGAGGGGCCGGCGTTGCCCTGCTGCGCTGTCCGCGGGTTGGCGGCAGCCCCGTGTCGCCGGGGGCTGCCGGGCGCGGCCTGACCCAGGCCCTCCTGGCGCGCCGCCGTGCCCCGCTCCCTGCGCGCCGCTGCTCGGCTGGGTGCGTGCCGCGCCGGCCCGGTGGTAGCGCTGCTGTTTTTGCGCGAGAACCTTCGGAGTTAGAGCAGCCGAAACGAGAGGGCCGGGGCTCTCAGCGCTGCCCTGGGCGCTGCGGAATGCCGCGCGTTCTGATGGGGCGGGCGGGATCTATGCGGGCTCGCGGATTGTGACTTTGCTGGGTGGGGCGGGCGGGAGGCGCGGCTGGAGCTGCATGGACTCACTTGTGGTTGTCACTGAGAATGCAGGTGCGTTGGCTTGGGGATTAAATGCTGAACCCTTCGTTTCCCCAGGTCTAAGTAGCTCTTTGAAGTTTATTTCAGTAAGCGCAGTCGCCGTCACCCCTTAATGCTCTGCTAGCATAGAAGTCGCTGAGATTTACTAAGATTAGCCGTAAGAGATTAAAAGCGCTTGATGTGCTTTGCCTATCTTTTGTGCTCACAGAGCTCTTCTATGGCACCTGCAGAGCTGCGTGGTGCTTGGCAGATGAGGGTAAATGGCATAACTAGCACGTTTCTTCTAGCACAGCTGGATGTAGGCTACTCAAATACAATTTCAGCTGTTGTCTCACCCTTAAGGGCGATTTTAACGTTTGGCAAGCAGTGGTTCACGTTTATTGTTTATTTGCCTGTCCTGAATGTCAACATTAAAAAAAGAAAATGCTAAATCTTCTCTTTGCTCTTGCAGATTGAGATTGATGATGTGATAACATTAAATCCTGAGTTAGCAGAAGAACTACCCACTGCAGAAGTGAAAGAGAACCTTCCTTTGCAAGAGAATGTAACGGTGCAGGTAAGTGCTTTAGCCTCCCCAGCTGGTAACGTGACCACAGCACACTTAAAACTGGGTTTGTTATAAGTAATGCTGCTGGTTTTACAAGTTGGTGACATCTGACTTTGTGTTCTGACTTTAATCAGAAATCCTTGCTGCATTAATGCTGTTCTATAGTGCTGTCCTTTGTGTTCATGACTTATTCTGATTATTAATAGCTCTCATTGTTTTCCAGAAACAGAAGCGTAGATCAACTCTTTCAAAGATTCCTGCTCCACGGGAAGGTGAGAAAATGTTGTTGTTACATCCCTGTGAAACAGTGATCTCCCATTGTGATCATGGTATTCCATTTTAGTGCAGCATAAGGCTGCTCGTTCAGGCAGTGCTAAAAACAGCACACCACTTTGTACCAACGCTTCACGCTCCTGAGTGCAGCACCTTTGCCAACCAATTGCTCTCCTGTTCCTGCGAGCTGGCATTTTTTATATGTTGCCCTTTTCTGCAGCACTGCTGTAGTTATTCTTTGATATGGCTTTAAACGTTGCCAGGAAGTTCCTGCTGCTGTGAGGTTTAAAGTTTTGGATGTAGCGTTGCAAACAGAAGTTAAGTGACAGTTATTATGCCAAAAAGGTGTCAAAATGACAACAGAAAGTGCAAGAAAAAAATAGCAGCATCAAATGGCATCTCCTCTTCAAACAGTCCCCATGGGCAGCAACTGTTCCTGGAGACGCTTCAGACTAAGCAGCTGAAGTGCTAGCTGGTGTGCCGTAGCTCAGTGATTTTTGTCTGTGTGGTGTTCTGAGCAAAGACAGATGAGAAAAAGTGCAGGGCTCCTAAGGAATTATTTTTCTCGAGGTGGTGGGAGTTAGGAGATTCATGCGTTTTTCACCTTTTTAGGTGGCTCTTGTTTTTGAGTTGCAAGTGATGGTGTTACAGGTCTATTTATAATACAGTTGTGATGCTGATGTCAGTTGACTGCAGATTAATGTCATAGCTGGCCAAAACTTTTGCTTTTCTATGAATTGTGAATGGCTGCATTTGTCTGGCCTTCTTGTTGTATATGATGCAAGAGAAGGGAAATTAATATCGGATATGAACAGTACAAATCCCCTTGTACCTGAGAGGAGTAGTCCAAGAAACTCAATATGTCAAAAGTTGTTCTGTACTAGAGCATGTTGATCTTTCTCAAATGCAGAGAATTCTCTGTAAATCTTGTGAATTGGCAAGAAAAACAATGTCCATTAACTAGACAAATCAGTTAATGGACAGCCAGCAGGGAAAATAAAGGTGTTCTAATTCAGACATTGACGGATGGGGGAGAAGAAATGTCCTCACAGAGGTTGCTGCTTTGCTGATGTATAAAATCTAATTACAAATTTGAAGTGTTTGTTGCCTTTGCTTCTGGCACAATCTTGTCCTGATGACCTGCTCAGAGTGCAGACGGAAAGCAATTTATCAGTCATCAAATATTATCTATATTATAGTTGCACTACATGAGTGTCAGGAAGTAAGTCTCATAGCAAACTGTACTGCACCAATTATGAAGCTAATGTTGACTTCAGTAGTCAGTCCTTAACTAAACAAATCAAAGATCAGAAGGTGTCTATCTCCTTCTCATTAAAGGAAGTGCTTTTAGGATGAAATTGAAAACAGGTGATGTCGAAGTTGTGTGAAGCAGTGAGAATTTTAGAAGATGCTGTATATTCTCTGTACAGAAATGAATCCAAACCATTGAAGTGGAGCAAATCCTATGGCATGTATGCCTGTCCAGGAGCACTATCAAAAGTGCCAAGTTTGTGATGAAATCAGGTTTGGGCATGTTTGACAAAAGGAAATGGAATAACATACCATCTGAGTATAATGAAACTGATTCTTTTTGTTCTTAAAGTTGCAGCAGTGACATCTAATGTCTCTGCACCTGAGCAGAAGATTGCAGGTAAAAATTTTAACACGTGAGCACTGAATTTCATGGGCACAATTGTAAGGAATTTGATCCAGAACTGAAGTTGAGATTTGTTTCACATTAAGTATTATTTCCTTTGAAATCACAGTGATTAATTCTGGTTAAATTCTTGTGATTGCTGGAGGTTAGTTCTGGTTTTCATAGTGCACTTGTATTTTTCATACCAGATTTGCTTTCTTTACAAATCTATCGAGGTGTATGTTCCTATCCCTTCCCTAGGAAGCTTTGTAAGTGGTTTGCTCTCAGGGAGAGAAGAAAACCTTAGGTAGTCTCCATTGCCACATGCTTCAAAAAGGCACTCTGTGAAGACTTCATATTGTGATTGTGTAGAGTACTTTAGCTGAAATTAGTGTCCTTAAGCTGCCACTCCACTGTGGCACCCCATGCTCTCTCTGTATTGGGCTTGGGTTTGTGATGGGTGTGATCCAGCCCTTGACCAGTTTTGTCTTTGGATGTGGAAGAAATGTCCTGGCTTTCCTAGGTGTAGATAACTCAATCTGTAGTCCATAAAGCAGAATTAATGATATAGCCTTGGATAAATTCATTTTAAGCAGCTGCCAGATTGCAGTTCTGTTATCACCATCAGTTAATTTGTAGCCTGCAGGTGTGAAGCTTCAGAGGATTTTCCATTTGTCTGTGATGTAACTACCTCCTTCCTAGGTCTTAAGATTTGGAACAGCCATATTAGTGAATCCCTAATGATACCTGAAAAGAAATTCACTGGAGCTGCAAATCTGGAACAAACTGTTTGTTTTTCTGTGGTGGTCACTTCTCACCCACCTACCTTTCCAGCATTGCTTTATCCTAGACTTTGCTAATGTTTCAAATTTGGAAACGGTCTTTTCAATCACAGCCTGCACATCTGAATACCTAATTATTTTCAAATGCCTGAGTGTCTGATATGTGATGCTGACCTTGAATTTCTGTTTTCAAAGCTGTGCGGGGCCGTTCTAGGATGTCTGTCATCACCGAATCTCAGCACAACCTCCAGGAAAATCAGATGGGGGTGGATCCCTGTACTTCTACACAAATAAGAAACAACTTGGCAGTTCCTGGTGAGTAGAGAAAGAACCTAGAGAATTGCTGATATGAAGCAATGTGCTTTGCATGTTTTTAATTAAGTAAACTACAAATCTAGGAATAGGAGCAGCCCCTGCCCCTTCATATATGAAGAGGGGGAGGTCCAATGCTATGTAAATATCTGGGGCTGCTGACTGAAGGAGTTATCAAAGGACATGGGAGACAGTCTTGTTGAAAAACAATGTACTTCCTTAATCAGACAGCTGCAGCAGGTCTTGTGGTTTAATGTGGTACCTGCTTAACAGCATCAAGTAGCATTCACAGGGCGAGCAGGAAACAAAGTGCCTTAGTACTGCTCACAACAGGCTCTGACTACACTGGTAGTACTTCTACATATACTGGTTGAGTAAAGCAAAAACTGGAGCCTGCTTGAGTTACTTGAAACTGTAGTTATCTATCTTGACCAGACCTTCTCTGAATAGCTGTGTATATGCCTCATGAATTAAGTTTTCTAAAGATATTCAAATAAGAGGTTTGATATTAACTTCTTGTCTAGCTGATGTGGTGTTGATTTGTAGCTTTGAATAAAATCTGGATTTAAAAATAACTATTTGCATGCAAGCTTTAGCTTGTTCTCTGAACCAATCCAGAATCAGAGCAAAGGAATACCTGAGGTCTGTAAGACTTTACAAATAACAAATAGTTCTTAATCTTTGGGTTCCACTTATTGTCTTTGGTCTGGCTTCTTTCTGCAGCTGGCCGAACCAGAGCTAGTAGGCTGCGCTGTGCTCCAGAAATTGTGCTTCCAAATGGAAATGGCATTACAGAGGATAATCTGCCTTCTGCTAGAATAAGCTCTTCACAGAGCCCAGGTACCAGAGAGCAGTGGGATACCAGGGAGCAGTGGCTAAGAACTGATTCACCAGTCAGTGATGCATCACTGTGCTACTTCGTATGCTCCTAGACTAGCACTCTGAAAAGGTGGCTTTGGGAGTAAGACTGGATGTCTTAAGTATTTTTATGATAAATGTGTAATTCTGTCATGGTGGTATCTCCTTTAGAAATTCTGCCCTTAGAGTGACAGGGTGGTGTAAAATGTATTTAAAACATAGGGTGAAAATTTAATTAAAGGAAATGCTTTCATTTTTATCTAGTTCGAAGAAAATCTAACATTGTGAAAGAGATGGAGAAGATGAAAAACAAGAGAGAAGAAAAGAGAGCTCAACTTAGTGAAATCAGGACGAAACGTGCACAGGTGTAGTACTATACCAGTAAGGAGATGCTATAGGATAGCATATCGTGGTAGTTAAAACCAAAATGTATTTATATATATTGCTATAATGGGCTAATTACCTTTGTCTGATTTTGTTTTTGTTTTTTTTTTTTTTACATGCAGGAAATTGACAGCAGTTGTCCAAACTGGGAGTTTGCACGGATGATCAGGGAATTCAGAGCAAATTTAGACTGCCAGCCAATATCCCTATCTGACCCAGTAAGGAAATATTGAGGCCACTGACTGTAGCACAGACTACTTGACTTATTTTGTACTGAGGGTTTTAGCATATGAGCAAATTAGTGCATCACAGCTCCTAGGAAATCCTGAGCATATTGTGATCCTGAGGCATCTGGTAGTAAATGTGAGGTCACTAACCTGTCCAGTTTAGGATAAGCTGCATTGCATTAGTTTGCATAGGGCAATGTCAGAGAGATTGCCCTTTGAAGATTATCATGCAATGTTTTGTGTGTAACATGAAAAGTTTTTTTAGAGCTTGTGAATGTCAGAGTATATTACATAGTAGTTTGGTTTGTTTTATATATAGGTATGAATAAATAAAACAGACTGTTACCCTGTAACATACTGTTATCATATATAAGTTGTACAGTGAGTGACTTTAAACTAGGTCAAAAAGTAAGATAGCAGAAGTTAAGGTCAAATTACAAAAAGCAGGCTCAGCAGAGATCTTCAGCAGATTTGGAGGTGGTGGTGTTTAATACTTGAGAACAAGCAGTCTTTGCCTAGCTAAAGCCTTGCTATAGTCAGTGAAAAATGACAGCATTAGGTCCAAACAAGTTGGTGTTGACTACTACAGAGGACTAGGTGGTTTCTGTACCTGCATCTGACAAAGCTGAAAATCAAATATTGCTGCATGACAGAAGATGAACTTGTCATCTTCTCCATCATGTGATAGGCACTTTTCCAAACTCAACTAATGTGCAGCTGTACTGCCTATGTAGATAAATGTATTACATCAGTGAAGTTTCAGATCTTAAAATACATCCAGAGGTAAATTAAAATAACAGTTTACCTGAGTCTGGCTGCAGTAGTAATATCAGATCTTGCTGGCCAGCTGGCCAGCAATTGAATATGTTATTGATCCCAGTACAGAATGTTTGGTGTACTTTACCATAGGAGCGTTTCTGCATGATATGTTGAGTATGCTACTCAAAGGCAAATTGCTCACAGTGTTCCTTCTGTGTTTGATGGACTTCAAGACTTTACTGCATGAGTTATACTCTGCTTCAGCACCTCTCAGAAATTAATCAGTGCATATAAAAGTTGATGTGAGGAAGCATGACATTTTTCTCTGTAATTCTAAGTAGGTGAAACAGGAACATAATTACTCGTTTTCCTAATTTTTCTTAGATAGAAGAACATAGAATTTGTGTGTGTGTTAGGAAGCGCCCTCTGAATAAACAAGGTGAGTGTGCTGACAAAGCAGCCCTGATCTGGAGCAGTTTGATAGGGCTTATTAATGTTAAAACTGAGTCTCTTTTCTGTCAACAGAGATAAACAAAAAGGAATGTGATGTGATTACTGTTCCAAGCAAGTGTGTCCTTCTGGTGCACGAGCCAAAGCAGAAAGTGGACCTAACAAAATACCTTGAAACCCAAACATTTAGATTTGACTTTTCATTTGATGAATGTGCTTCTAATGAAATGGTGTACAGGTAATGCTTTCTTTTCATTGGAATGACTTTCAAGATAAAAAGCATTGAGCTACAGCTGGGTGACAGCCTGGCTTAAACTGCTACCTGAAATAAATATAAAATTCCTTTCTGGAGGAAACCAAACAACTAGAAAGTCTAACAGTTTTTGCATGGCCTTGCTAGCTATCTAAGGACTTCCTTTTATTTACTTTTGTAGGAAAACTGATAAAGTAGGATGTGAAATGCTTTCCTTAATTGTCTCTTACCTTCTGAATATCCAGGTTCACTGCTAGGCCTCTTGTACAGACAATCTTTGAGGGTGGAAAGGCAACATGTTTTGCATATGGTCAGACGGGCAGTGGCAAGACGCATGTAAGTTTTTTTTTTTCCTCCAAAGAATCAGATTTTATAGCTTTAGATAAAGTATGTTGAAGTACTGTTATAGGATTATACAAGGAGCTTGGATCTTGAGGGTTTTGTCATAAACTGTTAATAGTTTTAGTTGTTAATCCTCCTTTTCTGTAGCTTTAAGTATTTCTTCTGAAGTTGTGAGGAAGATCATGTCTTTTTCCTCTTGGAGGAACAACTCCTTTGAACTCTCATGGTGTACCCAGCATTCCAGAGCCTTACAGGCATTTAACTGACATTTTGTATGGTCCAAATCTCCTCTAAACTGACAGGGAAGCAGAAAATAACTTAATTGTATTGCTGTAATCATCTCATTCACATCAGACCATATACATGATAACTTCCTAATATGTTCTTGGGATTAAAATCAGGTTGCCTGCCTTGCTTTTGAACTGCACTTCACTTCTGATGGCCTTTTCTCTTAATAGACTATGGGTGGAGACTTCTCTGGGAGAGCACAGAATGCCTCAAAGGGCATATATGCTTTTGCATGTAAGTTGATTCTTAAGATATGAAAATCAAATTTGTGCATGCTTTTCTTAAATACATATGCTTTGTTTTTATAGGATTACTTAAAATGTTTCTGGTAAAAGATGCATAGAGTACTTAAGCTCTGATTAATAAGTGGGGCTGTTTATAGCAGGAGGTACAACTGTTTTTTTTTTCCAGTTTCACAAACTGTTTTCCATCCAACATATAGCTTTCTAGATCTGCCTGCTATTTCACACTTACCAGAAGACAGTTGCTGTTGAGATAGTCCAGTAACATCAAACTAGAAAGATGAATTGTTTCATTTTGATTAATTCTTTGCTTTTGTCTCAATGTAAGGAATGTGTTTGGAGGTACCTGACTTGAATACAACAGAATGCTACCAACTTCTCATACAAAGTTTGTTATTCAGAAAGCATATGAGTGTGGTTTATGCTTCTTACTTCATGCACTCTGTTCTACTTTTCTTATAGAAAAGTATTTTGTGAAACTGTCAGTGCAGCAAGTCAGTTGAAGTTCAACCAAGGGGTCAACTGAACTGTTCTGGTATATCATCTCCAGCAGCATGGAAGTGCTGTCTAGGTTCTCTGCAGGGAGCATTTCAAACAAATACTTGGCTTTTGCAGGCCTGTCCAAAGCAATAACAGGTCTTGATGTTCCCCATGTCAGGGGGATGTGTGTGCAGTTTTTACTTACGCTGATCTTATTAGATCAGCAAGGGTTGCTGTCTGCAGGTAATACTAGCATTAGAAGCATCCATATCCCTGTTTTCAGTTTCTGGATGACAGCGCTGCTGAAATTGGTTTCCAGATAGTAGCATGTTGCTAATTGTTTCATTAGAATTTGCTTAGGATGGCTGTCATTAAGCTGCTAGTCACTGCTTTATGGCTAGTGATAATCAGCAGTAGTTCAATAGCAACTAGGACATGTTTTAAACTAGTTAACTAAGTTACTGTCTTCCTTCACCAGCACAAGATGTCTTCTTTCTTCTAAGCCAGCCCAGGTACAGGAGTCAGGACCTGGAAGTCTATGTGACTTTCTTTGAAATATATAATGGAAAGGTAAGACTTCTTGTTTTCTTTTAATCCTGGCCTGATTCTGGCTATGTGTTTTACATGTAGATGAATTAAATATACTTTTTTCATAGTCTGTTAAGCCTCTGTTAAATGTGATGTTCCTGTACATCTCTGTAAAGCCAGTACAGGCTACCTGCAAGGAGTCTTTGTTCAAATTTGCCTCAATCTTATTGCCTGAATATAGGTGTTTGATCTCTTGAATAAGAAGGCAAAGCTTCGAGTTCTGGAGGATGGCAAGCAGCAGGTTCAGGTTGTTGGTCTGCAAGAGAAACAAGTTTGCTGTGCTGAAGATGTCATCAGAATGATTGAGATGGGCAGTGCTTGCAGGTTTGATGCCTTAAAACAATAAGAAAGCAATCGTGTCTGTACTTCTGTGTCTGCAAAAAGTGATGCTTGTAGCTGCTGTCTGGATTTCAAACAAGGAGCCTGTTTTCCCAGTAGCAGACAGGCACTGATCTGCACCTCTGCATGAAAACAAGGGGATTACAGAATGAAGGACTAGCAGACATAGATTTAATCTTTCTTCCATAGTGGCCACATGTTCATGCATGTCCAGAAGAGAGGAAATATTTGCATCAGAGCAGCCTTTCCCTTATGACACGTCTAGGAAGGAGGCAGACTCCAGTTTAGAAGTATCAGCTAGTATACTGGAGCATAAGTTGCTCCCTGGGAGTGTGTGAGATCAAGCAAGAGCAGCTGGCATCAAGCTGTAGTTGCAGAAGTACAACTACTAGATCAGCTATTCTGATAGCAGCAAAAAGGCTATGTGTCATTTGAAGATCTAAGAAATCCTTGAGAGGAGTTGCTGTAGGCTTGGCTGTTCAATTTGGCAGGCCTGGCTGCAGACTACCACTGCACTGGTGTGTCTTTAATCAGGGGCTAAGTTCTGTATTAATAAAGTCTTAGCTTTCTAAGATATATTCTCATAGCAGATATTACTTGGCCAAGAAGAACTTCCTGGCTGCAGTATTACTTTGCATATACAGATATCTGCATCCTGAAAGCTCCACTAATGCTCTGTTGTGCATCCTTTTTTGGGTGATGTTTCATGCAGGAACTGTTCAATGTTTCAGGCTCCTGCCTTTTTCAACAATATTTCATGGCAACCCCCTTCCCTCTTCACCTGGGAGCAGGGATGTGGGTGGGACTACAAACCTGCCAGTCCCCTAAGGGAACAAATGTTAGTGGAAGTCACTGTGAGGCTTATGGTATGGCAGACTCCAATCACTAACAGTGACAGGCAGGAACAGTTGCACAACAAAGGCTAAGCTTGGCTGGAGAAAGGGATTTACAATGACTGCAGTGTGCTAGCACACTGCAAATGTTTAGTGGAAGGAAAATGCTGGGCTGAAGGTATTTCTTCCAGCTCTAAATATGTATGAGGTATTGGCAGTCAGAAAGTTATACTTATGTAGGCTGGCTGAGTTGAGCTGGGCAGCATGATAACAGAAGTGATTCCATAATTCATGCAAACCTGAGGTACTGTTGTGTGGGTTAAAGAACTTAAATGGCTGCAGGTCTTTAATGCTGTTGGGACCTTTGAATCTCCAGTGGTGCAGTTCTGATGCTTGTTTGCATCTTTGCTGTAGGACATCTGGGCAGACTTTTGCAAATGCTAGCTCTTCACGGTCGCATGCCTGCTTCCAAATCATACTACGTCACAGAGGGAAACTGGTTGGCAAATTTTCCCTGGTGGACTTGGCAGGAAACGAGAGAGGTGCAGACACATCTAGTGCTGATCGACAGACACGAATGGAAGGTGCAGAAATCAATAAAAGCTTGCTGGCTTTGAAGGTGAGCTATAGTTCAGAGAGCAAATGGTGCTAAACAACACAGGATTTTGTTTAACTTTGAGGTAATCTACTCTGTTTCTTTCCAGTGCAAGGGAAAAGAATAGCCAAAAGGATCTTAGTTTTGTATTTTAATAACCCTGAAAATGATATGTATTATACTTGCTCTTAGTATGCTTCCAGGGAAACAATATAATTGTATAGTCTTTTTGAGTCTGGCACAGCCAGATACTGGCACAGCCATTTTAAGCTTCATTCAAGTTGTGTTGTTTTTGTGTTTCTGTTGTTTTCTATATATGATGGATATCGGGTATCCTGTGATAGTCAGATATGTGGAGTGTACTTAAAAGGCTAGGAAGCATGTACAGAGCAATAGAGATGATTTTTCTCCAGCGTGTTGGTGGCTGTAGCTCGCAGAGCTGCTTAAGAAGAGATGCAGATACTGCACTCACAAGATTTGTCTTTTCTTAGGAATGTATCAGAGCTTTAGGCCAGAACAAATCTCATACTCCTTTCCGTGAAAGCAAGTTGACCCAGGTGCTAAGGGACTCTTTCATAGGAACAAACTCAAGGACCTGTATGGTAAGTATGTTTGTGATACAGTTAAACCCACTTACTGTTTGCGAGTGTTGCAATTTGACCAGATAGCTGCATGCTCCTCTTCCAGAAGGATGGAATTTTGGTGGTGTCAAATCTTCAGTGAACTTTGATCCAGTCTCAGGAATAAGGCAGCACAAGTCATTTTCATACAGTGCATCTACAGTAGTGCATAGTGTGCTCTCCAGGCACACTTCCTGGGAAAGTGCAGCACCACGGGTCTGCAAAGTCAGTGGAAAACTGGATACAGTCACTGGCATGCTCCATAGGAGCAGTACAGAAAAACAGACCTGGCCATGTCTTAACTCTGACCCTTTTCCCTAATGTGTCCTAGCTGTCTAATGAGATCTGCAGGTCCAATAGCTTGAGCAAAAGGCAGATGTGGAACTCACCGTGGCTTTCTGTTTGCAGATAGCAATGATTTCTCCAGGCATGAGTTCATGCGAGTACACCTTAAACACACTGAGATACGCTGACAGGTATGACTTCCTGACTTAAGGATTCTACTGTTATTGCAGAATATGTTTTTACTGTCCTGTCTTTCTTCAGAGGAAGAGTGTCTCATGTTAGACTTCAAACTGCCCTGTTTTTTTGTAGGAAGTATACCCTGTTGGCAGTGTCCTGAATGGTGACCTCCATCTATAGTGTGCACTAAGAATATGGCTGCTGTATTACATTCCCTGACATAACCCTACAGATTATGCAGAACACCACTAGGTGTTTACTTTAATACGAGCTAGTAGGGTATGATACCACTTGAATGAAATCTAAAGAACCCAGAGAACTCAGGTGCTTGGTAGCAAATGGTGGGGGTGTGGATTTGAATGCTCTGTGGTTGGTCTTGGGCACCTGTAAGAACAGATCTCTAGAGTTCCCTGGGGGTCTTGCTGAACCCTGGAATACCTGTGAAGAGCAGCCTTTACATCTCTCTGATGAAATGATGAGTGAAAAAGGATAGGCAAACTCTTGTTGCAGGGAAAGCAGTTTGTATTTTGAATCTCAGCACAACAGCTAAAGAAACAGCTAAAGCCTTGCATCTTTCACTAGGATCAGTGGTATTTGAATTTTTCCTTGCTGATGCTGTGTTGCATGGCTCTGTACAATGGCTGCAGTGTCTGTGACTTCTGTCCTATGTTAACAAGATAAAACTTGCATACTTCAGACTTGGTAGCTTTCTTTCATTTATGTCATAAAAGACCTCATGGTCCCCTCCTTAACAGGAAGAGAACACTCCAGAGAAAAGTTATGAACATTCAGGAGCATAATGAATCTTCACAGGTTTGGTTCAGGCTCAGAATTGAAGTTGCTTTTTTTATTTTGGTGGACAGTCATTCCTGATCACCTGAAAGCACAAGACAAAATGAAGCATCTGACTTGCACTGTGCTTTGCTTGCTCCCATTGGCTTCACTGCTGATGCACAAGGCAAGTTTAGGCCACAGGAAAGGGAATATGTAGGCTAATACTCACTGAAAATATGAAGCTGATGCTATTAAGTGGGATGAAGTGCCTAGCTGATGCTTCACATCTACTCCTAGCTCCATGTCATCAGCCATTACTTTTGTCCTTATTACAGGCCTATTCTAACATGGAAAGTTGTTTTTTTTTTTTTGAGGCAGGGAAGGAAACCACCTTAGTCCTTTTTTTTTCCATACTAAGTCCTCTTAGTTGATTGTGACAGACCAAGCTGATGTGTCCCTGTGAAAGGCTTTACTGGCAGTTAGTACCATGTACTTTAGCACTTCTCTCCAGGAGAGGTCCTAGCTTGATATGGCTAGACTGGACGTGGAAACAAACATCTTTCATCTTTCTTTTTCACAGCCCTTTAGAGTTTCTATGTGAGCTTGTTCCAGGTGTGATAATGTTTGGAATTTCTTTTAATAAAGCCAAATGCTTTTTGCTGAGCACTGATGAATTTCACCAGCTGCTTTGTGATACTGTAGCCCTGAAATTGCTGAAAGATATTAAGTGGCAAATATTCTTGTTGCAGGGTGAAAGAGCTCAGTCCTCATAATGGAGGTGGTGAAACACAGAATCAAATGGAGGTTGAGGAAACAGAAATGAATGAAGAAAGCTCAGGTCTTCGACACAGTGTATGTGTGTGCAGTGGGCTGAAAAGATCTCAAAGCTGGAAACAACTTGCTGTTCTTACTTAAGCTGTTTTCTTGCAGCTGTCCAAGGATGAGGAGGAAGATCTTTCTCCCCACCTGTTTAATTTCCGTGAAGCTATGAGTCAAATTGGTGAACGAGAGGAGAAGGTTGTAGAACAGCTTCGAGAACTGAGACAGGTAAAGAGGAAAGCCCAGCTCAAGATGCTTCGACGTGTTGACAGCAGCTTGCTTTGTCTGAACCCAATGCTACTGGGTAGGCCGTGGGCTGTAATTAAATGGTATTACATTTCCCTTACTGCTTTTTTTTTCCTGTGGTTTCTTGCCCAACAGGTTAAACTGGGGAATTCTGGTGCTTGTGGCCAGCCAGTCCCTGTCTCCTCCACCTAGCAACTTCCATCTGCTGATAATGAGCATAGACTGATAAAGTTGTCTGTAAAAGCTCAGCTCAATTGCTTTGGTGTGCCAGATGCATTGAAACTTGAATTACTTGAAAATCAGTTTCTTACTATGTTCATTCTTGTAAATACAGAAAATGACAACTGAACTTGACTACCTCCTGGGAATCACAGAACAACCAGACTATGACCTTGAGACATTTGTGAGCAGAGCTAAGTACTTCATAGAAGAGAGCTCAAGAAACTTTCTTAGTGCCAGAGGTATGTTAATACTTTTTGAGGTAGTGTCTACTCAGGAGGTGTGTTTTTAATCTGCACTTTCACTAATCTTTTTTTAAACTCTGAAGTAACACCAACATATCTTATACCTCTAGTCACTCTCCTAGGCGATCACTAGGCTGGACCGGTCCTATTGTCTGCATTTTTCAGAGTAGAAAGGGCATCAGCTGAACTGCTGCTGAGTGGAATAGTTGGGCCAGGGAATTCAGTTTTCAGATCAGTAACCCCCTTGTCACTCCTCTCTTCCTTTACAGAAACACTGGATGCTCTGGAAGTAGCCATGCAACTAGAGGAGCAAGCCAGCAAGAAGATAAGAAAGCAGAGGCATCGGTAAATACAGCAAAACCTGGTTTGCAAGCAATCTTCTGTACGTCTTGAACATTTGTCAGTGGTTTGTGTAACTACTATTAAATGCAGTAGGGTGCCTGAGAGAAGCAAACATTGCAGACTATCTCTCTTAATGTCTTGTATCAGGGTACTCTGTAGAGACTCTGCTAGAAACCTCCCCTTCAAGGCCTGGGGGAGGAGGGCTGAGAGTCTGCTAGATATGTTTCATATCTGGTCCTTTATTAATGACAATGGACTTCTCTAATAGAAGTAGATACACATAACTTTCTAATGTACACGTAATTTTTGATTCCAGATGTGCTTGAAAACACTGCAAAACTTTTCTAGGAAGAAAATGGACTATATGTAATTGTTTAAAAAAAAAAATCAGTATTTTACAACGTTTTTTCAATTAAATAAATGTTCCTGTATTTAATTAACTTCAACCTTAAAACATATTTCTTGCTGATTTTTGCTGAAGTCTTAACAGTCCCTGAAGACTGTCTAGTGCTGTAGAGGTACCCTAATTTCTTGGAGTAGACTTATTTTTGAAGTCTTTACACTTGTAATGTTTGCATAAAAATAATTTAAAATAAATGTTCTCTTTTAATTGAGGTTCTGTGGTGTAGAACTTCCCAAGCAAGGGGGGAAAAAGGGACACTCTTAAACAAGCCTCCTTTACTTCAGTAAAGCTCAATATGTTTCAGTGAGTGGATCAGCTCTTTTTAGCAGCAGGCAGGTAAGACCCTGTCACTCCCTCCCACCTAAGTAGTTTAGTCAGGCTTCAGCAGTGGCCCAGAATGTTACTTCATATGCTTGTCCTATTGGCTTATGAGGAAATAGTCAACATGCTCCATAAAAATCTGTGTTCAGCAGTCCATGAAAACCTGTATTTGAGGGCAGAATAGTAAAGCTGCTACTGGTTCAGCTGTAGCAAGTTGGGATCCATGACCCCTATGTGTGGCCTGGTCCAGATAGCCCCACACAACTTATTCTCTGGAGGCGAGCAAGGTAGAGGGCCATGATGGAGAGGACAGACAGGAGATAGGTGATGCTGCTGGGTGCCTCTTATTTGTTCAATTTACTGTAGGGATTATCTCCACAAGGACAAAATTAGCCCGTGAACTCCAGTTCCAGCGTGTAGACATACAAATACCAGAGTACACAAAGACTATCATTACTCACTCTTGCCCTAGACCCCAGCCCTAGTCTCCTGGACTGCTTTCTACCACAGACTATTTCCTTTAATTTCAGAGGGTGATACTAGTCCAAAACAACTGGGGCTATTAAGTGACTGAGCCCAGTTCTATGCCTACCTTCTGCAGGTTGCATCTTCATTGTGTCTTTGGGGCTGTCCACTAGATTGGAGACCAATTCTTCAGCCTGGACTGGATCTATTTTTGTGTACCAGGTCTCAGGACAGTTCTGGAAGAGGTAGCAATAGTGTTAGGTTGTCTTGCAGTATACCTGGTGCAGCATACTAAGACAGCAGCACAGTGAGAGTGAAAGGGCTGTTGGGCCCTGCTGAGTTTAAAGCACAAGTCCCTTGCTCAGTCCTGCTGTTTCTGGTGTTACTACTCTTGGCTACGTCTAGTTTAGACCAGAGGTAGCTTGTGGTAAAACAGGAGGGACCTGGGTGCAATGAAAAAGTGCTGTCTCTGCCCTTCTCTGCACCCAATATGGCTTAGTGCTCTGTATCACCACTCCAAGAGCTAGAGGCAGGAGGGTCCTGGTTTTGCAGGAACTTGAGTCACCTCTTGTCACATTCTGACAGAGATCCTGCTGTTGCAGAAGTAGCAGGTGTCTGAGATCCATCCTTGCTCTCTTCAGGGTTTGAACTAGAGAAATGATCTTTCTGAGCATGGCCTGAAGGTGAAAACTTCTCCAAGGGGGGCTTGGTTCATTTCTGGGCTCTTACTCAAGACAGGATTTTTTCTCTATGAGGATTACAGTCCCTACACCTCTGCAGAACAGATCAAACTCTTCTAGTGCCACTGATAAACTCTGTTGGGAGGCATGCTTACCTTAAAGAGCTGGAACAGCATGTGCCCTACTGCCTTCCTTACTTGCTCCTCCACAAAGGGATATGTGCGGACAAAATACTGCAACAGAACAGAGAGTTAGTGTATGGGGATAAGGGGTGTGCATGCATGTGAATGGAGGTAGAACTCTGTGTACAGGAACTTGTTGGTCCTTGCTCTAAGCCCTACCTTATTCCACTCTGCTGTCCCCCAGTGCCAGCTCACTGATAAGAGGAGGAAGGATGTTTGCAGGAGCGCTATCTTCTCAGGTGAACAGTATACTGACCTTCTGCATTACCAGATAGGTCACCCTGAGTAGCCTGATTCTCAGCTGTCCCTCATTCTGTGCCTTTCCCACTGCTCATGGCATGGTCCTTCCTCTCCCTAGTCATCACAGATCTGTGCTGAGGCAGCCAAAACTCTTTAAGCAGCACCAGCAGGACAAAGTAACCTGCTTATAATTCTGTACTACTGTCTAGATCCAGGGAAACTACCTTGGTTAACCACTTAATTCTGTCTATGCCAGCCCCCAGGGCAAGCTGCGGAGTAGAACAGGTGTGTGAAGGTGAACATTGGCTTCCCAGTACCCTCTTTGTGGTGGCTGGCAGGAGGAAGGCAAATAGAACAAGTAGTACAGCTATTTCTAGAATGAAGTGCCACTCCTGCCTTTGTGAACTCTGTCTGCTGTGCTCAGAAACAAACTAAAACAGTGCATGGAGCATTTCTGTTCAAGTGTTCTGGAAAGAGACTGCATGCTATGACATCATCTGTTGTATACCATCACACTCACCTCCAGGGAGATGCTGGCATTTCTCTGGCTGAGTGGATAATCCAGGTTCCCCATTGCAACCATCAGGCCATGCACCACTTTCAGCTGGATCAGCTCTTCAGCCACTTCTGCTGACTCCTTTGCTAATATGCTGCAATAAGACAAGCCATCAACCTCTACCCTGTGCAGTGGAAGAGGCACATAATAAATTGAGCCTGGCACTCTTGGTACAGATCTGGTGTGATCCCCATGGAGGCATCAATGGACAGAAGACAGAATCTCAAACATTTGACTGAGCATGGATTGTCAATCATTTAGTGGTTTGTTTGTTTGTTTGTTTTTGGTTGAGAAACAGTTATTTAATTATTGGTAGGAGCTTCCTGGTGCATTATAAATTCTAGAAAGCTTCCTGCATGAATGTGAAGAACCCAGGGCTCAAAGTGGAACCACCACCAATGTCATTGCTTTTGAGACTATGTCCCTGTACCCACTAAACTCATCTGCTTTTGTAGAAGTGTTCTCATAGCACTATCTTGTGGACACTGCAGGAAATTCATAATAAATGCATAGACTTTAGCACAAGCAGCCAGATGTAAGGATTCTGTGGTCAATCACAGGTACTACATTCTTCCATTGGGTGGCTGAGGTCTCTGTGCCAGAGACTCACTGCCTCCAATTAATTTTTTTCTTCCTAAAATCTGACCTAAATCCCCCCTCTTTTAGCTTAAAGCCATTCCTCCTTGTTCTATCACTATCACACCATGTAAGAAGTTGGTCCCCCTCCCCTTGTAAGCTCCCTTCAAGCACTGGAAGGCTGTGATTAGGTGTCCCCAGAGCTTCCAGGGTAAACAAGTCCAGCTCCCTCAACCATTCTTCTTAAAAGAGGTGCTCCATCTTACTGGCCTCCTCTAGACCCACTCCAACAGCTCTGCATCCCTCCTGTGCTGGGGGCCCCAGGCCTGGACACGGCGCTCCAGATGGGGCCTCACAAGGGCAGAGGAGAGGGGGATGGTCCCCTCCTTCTTCCTGCTGCCACCCCTGTTGATGCAGCCCAGGGTACAGCTGGCCTTCCAGGATGCAGGAGCACAGTGCTGGCTCATGTCCTGCTTCCTGTCCATCAGGACCTCCAAGCCCTTCTCTGCAGGGCTGCTCTCAAGGAGTCTGCACGTGTATCTGGGATTGCCCCGACCCAAGTGCAACACCCTGCACTTGGCATTATTGAACCTGATCAGGTTCTCGTGTGCCCACTGTTCGAGTCTGTCCAGCTCCCTCTGTGTGACTTCCCTCCCTTCTATTGTGTCAACTGCACCGCTCAGCCTGGTGACATCGCCAAACTGCTGAGGGTGCATTTGATCCTGCTATACACTTCTGATCAAAGGAAGATGTTTCTCTGCCCCCCTTCCCTCTCGCACGCTCCTGTGTGATTTACTCCAGGTTTCCTTACCCGACAGCTTTAGCAGCAGCTGCCTGCTGAACGTGGGCCGGCATCGGCTCCGTCGGGCGCAGCGTTGGGTCTGCAGGAGGAATCCGAGGAAAGTAAGAACGATGCTTTGACACATTTATAAGACGAGAGAAGGGAGGAGAGGCCGTGCGTTGCCACAGGCACAGCCCACACAGCGCGGGCCGCTGCGGCCTGCCGACCACGGCTGTTACCTTTGGCACGTGCTTTGCTCCCGGGCGGGGTGAGCAGGGCCACCAGGCCGGGCAGCAGGGCGGGCGGGGCGCGGCGGGCCGCGAGGGTGCGCAGCAGCTGGGCGGCTGGGGGTACAGAGGCGGCGCTGAGCACCATTGCCGGCGCTGAACATCGCTCCTGGACTCGCTCTGTCATTAACCACAACAGGGATAGCTCCGCCGAAGCGGAGCCTCAAAAAATTCCACGACACTCGTGCTTGTTCCTCTCCACGGAAATCTTTAGTAAAAGGCGAAAGATTTATACGATCTGAAGAGAAACCAGAGTATAAATCCTGCTCTTCCCGGCCCCGTGCCCACTGCCCGCCCGCCTCCCTAAGCACACGGCGACCCCCAATTCTCCACTGCGCTGGGCGCAGTTCAGTGCTGCACAGCCCGGCCCCGCACCACCCCGCCCGTCAGTTCCCGGCGGCCGCTCACGCGTGGGGCGGCGGAGCCCGGCGGGACGCGTGGGACCGCGCGCTGCACGCTGGGTATGCTAATAGCCGCATGCTAATGAGCCGCATGCTAATGACGATGCGCCACGCCCCCCAGGCTCAGATGAGGACGGTGCCTCGCGGCGCCAAACGGAGCGGCGGGGGCGGGCCCACAGTGCGGCGCGGGCGGGACTCGGGCTGCGCCTGGGGGCGGGGCGAGCAGCACGGAACTGCGCGAAGCAGCCTGAGAAGCAGAAAGTGAAACGAACTCCACACGTTCCACTTCGACAAAGAGAACTTAGTACAACCTAAGAGCTCACTCTGCTATTAACCACAATAGGGATAGCTCCGCCGAAGCGGAGCCTCAAAAAATTTCACGACACTCGTGCTTGTTCCTCTCCACGGAAATCTTTAGTAAAAGGCGAAAGATTTATACGATCTGAAGAGAAACCAGAGTATAAACGGGACCTTTCCTGGCCCTCATCCCCCGTCCGCCTGTCTCTCTCAGCGCACGGCGATCCCCGCCGGCCCCGCTCCCTCCTCCTCTCCCGGCCCCGCACTTCCCCGCACCGCTCCCGGCTCCGCACAGCCCCGCGTTGCCCCGCGGGAACGGCGGCACAGCACAGCGCAGTCGAGTCGCGGCGCCGCGGTGCACGCTGGGTACACAAATCGGGCGCATGTTAATGAGCCGCTGACCAACGACCGCCCACAGGGCCCCGCGCGGACCCGCCCTCCTCCCCGGGCCGCGGGACGGCTCATACCTTCGTATTGCACCTCGGGGTACACCGAGCCCAGCACCGCCAGCAGCGGCGCCACTACAGCCGAGGGAGTCTCTCCCAGCAGCTCCTGCGGGACAAGGGCGGGTTGCGGGGGGCGGATGCACGCAGTGCTCCCCGCTGTCCCCCTATGGGCAGGGTGCAGCCCCAGCTAGTGCTGGGAATGGGGCTAAGCCTTTCTCTCTGGCATAACTGTAGGCTTTCCAACTCCCGGGGGCACACGGGGGGGGCACCCTTTATCCCCATCACTCACCTGCATGCTGTGCAGTGTCTGCAGAGCCAGCTGCTGGGCATGGGGAGAGCCGCGTGGCAGCACTGCCAGCAGCCCGTTGTACACTTGGTTCTGGTACTTGGGGTTGCCGCGGCCCAGAGAGCCCAGCAAGATCTGCGCCTCCTCCTGAGCCTCTGCTGAGCTGCAGGTGGCCAGCAGCTCAGCAAGGGATCGCACACCTGCATGGAGAAAAAGGCGCTAAGTTGCATGCCAGCAGCACTGCTAAGGATCTCTCTGCTGCTTTACCTCTCGGAGAAAGCTATGACAGCAGGTATCACCCTTCAGCCACCGGCAGTGTGAGGCATAATCCCAACTACAGAACAGTAAATGGTGTTTGGCTTCTACCATCCAGGAGAAAAAAAAAGAACAGGAAAAAAAAAATTCTACTATTCTTTCAAAAGGTATGTGCCACAAAAGCCTCCAGCGGGGAAGGCTGAGGAGGTTTGCAGTAGGCAACTGTGGGTAAGAATAGAAACTGTTGTGTGATTTTTCTGTAGCAGTTATGAGCAGTGGGACAGCAATAGTGCATCAAAAGAAATGACTGTAAAGAAAGCGAGCTCATTAAAAACGGAGCGAGCAGATGAAATGTGACTGCTCAACAATAGCTGAGCTCTGAGTTCCCTCCAGCCAGTCCAATGCTGCAGCAATCTGCTGTCCAGCAGCAGAGGAATGGCTTGGTGCTGCAAGCAGCCCTGGGGCCAGAGGTCAGGGAGAACAGCCTCACCTGAATTAGGAAAAAGCACATGTGGACACGTTGCCTACCGTAGCTTTCACAAATGAGCTCCTTGTACTTCCTGCCAGCGTCTGCAATGAGCTGAAGCAGCTTTACAGACTCCCTTTTGTCCTCTTCTTTCAGGTGGTTCAGCCCTAGTATTTCCAGGAGCGTCAAGACACCTCCGATCTCCAGAAATTCAATAATGTATCTGCGTCTGCACAGATGGAGGAACAAAGCCAAAAATGTCACCTGCTTTGGAGCACATCTTCCTGAGCAAGCACACCTCGCTGTAGCAGTGCGATGGCACCTGAACACTGAACACGAAGCACCTGAGGCTCAGTTAGGACAGAGCTTTACTGCCAGTATGTCAGCACCTACAGCTTTACCCCATGCTTGTTTCAGATGTTAAACCACAGGCACAAAAAACCCCATCGCTCAGGCTTCCAGCATGCTCTTTCCACACCATGCCAATGACCCAGTGGTTCTGGACACGGGCAAGCTGTGGATTTGGATTTGAGAGCATCTTATAGCAAGCCACAACCCCATTGCCTGTATGCTCCTTCCCCATAGCACCTCTCAGGCAGTGACATTCTGTACTCACCCGCTTGCAGCAGATAAGAAGATGCCAATGGACTTGAGCAGCTTCTTGATGCACGTGCTGTACGTGTAGCTGTTTGATAAGGCTAAGGAGAGAATTACAGACTGTCTCAGTGTTCCCCAGGCAACTCTAGCAATGTGGAGGTCTGAACCTGGGTACTCTCTTTGTTAGAGGGAGCATGGACCTTCCTTTCAAAGGCATGCAGGAGTTCCTGATTCTAGGTTCCTAATTCTGGGTCCCTGAGAGACAGGCTATACGACTTCAGTTCCAATTTAGATAGCTATTTTTTTTTTTTCCTCCTGCAGCTGGATCTTTATACAGAAGCTTATTCTTCATACAGTTTTT